TTTCTTCTGGGTCCTTTATTTTGGTATAGTAGAGGTAGGGTTCCAGAGTGGTATCTGGGGACTAACGGCATCAGCCTTCCATGCTGCTTCTGACCTTGTCTACAATCCTCATAGTTGAATGAAGGGAAAAGGAAATATTTATTTATTTATTTAATTTATAGGAGGTAGGGTTCCAGAATGGTATCTGGGGACTAAGGGCATCAGCCTTCCATACTGCCTCTGACCTTGGCTACAATCCTCATAGTTGAATGAAAGAAAAAGGATATATTTATTTATTTATTTAATTTATATGCCGCCCACTCTACCCAGAGGTCTCTGGGCGGCTTACAACAATTAAAATTCAATACAATAAATATATATTAGTGCAAGCCATCCCTGTTTAATGTAAAGTATTTTAGAGTGGTTTGCTCTGGAAACAGCAACCAAGAGCCATTAACTTTACAAAATACTTCTTCATTTGGTGGTATGGTCTGATCCAGCTGTCTGAATCCTTGGATTCTTCTTATTCGGCAAAGGAGGCTGTTGAAACTACCATGATGATCAGGTGCCAAGTTTACCTCACTGTTCGATGCTTTCATATCCTTTTGAAAAACAATTGGTAGAATGAAGAAGCAATAGCCTGAGAGATAAGAACAGAAGGAATTTTAGTTTGATGGAACCATATATTTCTTCTTCTTCAAGCTGGGGATTAAGCAGAGGAAAAGACACTGAGGGGAAGATGTAACTGGAGAAATCTAATGGCCAAAGTAATATCTTACGTGGCCTAAGTAAAATTTTTGGGGATCCTCATTCACAACAGCCAGTTGACGTGACGGCTAGGGGGCTTTGAGATCTGTAGTCCAAAAAGTGAGCTTTCCAACTTGGTTGGCTCGTCAAGACATCACCATTCAAAGACAATTTCCTGCACCATCTTTTATCAGTACTGGCAATCTTTCCTGCCTGATTTTTCCAGCTACAAAAGGAAAAATAATAAAAAATAATAGCTGTGTTATAAGTAAAGGCATACAATGAGACTGTCATTATATGGAAGAAAACTGTGCTTGCTTCTAGATGAACGACCATAAAGGTGAATCAAAAATACCCCTCTGGTATACCTGGTAGGGGCAATATTAGAAGCAGTAGATGAAATAGATTAGAATTTGCAGGGGCTTTTTAAAGACAAGATTGAATACAAAAACATGTCTATTACTGCCATGTGCCATCATCACATCTGATTACTAAAGCCCTTGTAGGGTTTTCAAGGTGATGTGCAATATTTAAGAAATGATTTTGTCAATGCTTTCCCCGCCTCGCAGTTAAGTTTCCATGGCCAAGTGGGAATTCGAATTCAGATTGCCTCAGTCCTCTATCATTCTGCTACACTAAATTGGCTCTCATATATTGCTATAGTATCTCCCACCAAAACAAGCCTTTAGCTGGACCAACTGGAAGTCACTTAGTGGACTTCAAAGCAAAGTAGGGAGATCAAATAATCAGATAAAATGGCACTGCATTACATTTTTTTTGTTTGTGTGCCTATAAATTCAATCCATGCATGCAGTTTATGCCCCACCATGTGTACAAAAGATCTAGCAAATGGTAGCCTGCTTCTAGTCAAAACAGTCGGAATTTTGTTTATAATTTTACCTATACAGTGGTGCCTTGCATAGCAAGGTTAATCCGTTCCGGACAGTTAAGTTTTCATGGGCAAGTGGGAATTCGAATTCAGATTGCCTCAGTCCTTCTCTATCATTCTGCTACACTAAATTGGCTCTCATATATTGCTATAGTATCTCCCACCAAAACAAGCCTTTAGCTGGACCAACTGGAAGTCACTTAGTAGACTTCAAAGCAAAGTAGGGAGATCAAATAATCAGATAAAATGGCGCTGCATTATATTTTGTTTGTTTGTGTGCCTATAAATTCAATCCATGCATGCAGTTTATGCCCCACCATGTGTACAAAAGATCTAGCAAATGGTAGCCTGCTTCTAGTCAAAACACAGTCGGAATTTTGTTTATAATTTTATCTATATTTCATATGCATCCATAATTTTAAATTGTGCAACTCTTTGATACAAATAAAGAATGGAGCAGTCTTCCCCATGTAAAAGTTTGAAATGAGTCTCATATAGCTTAGTCACTGGCAGTAGCAGCTTCAAGCTGAAATACGTGAATATATTTTTTTATTCCATCACTTGTCTCTAGCCTCCGCTCATCACAAGAACAAGGCCCCCAGGAAATTATGTAAAACCTCATGCAGAGTGTGTGTGTTTTTACAAAAAGAGGAAACTCGGCAAATCAAGGTGAAAACTAAAAACAGATCTCTGATTGATCACATACAGAACATGGAGCAGAAATACACAGGTCCGTCCATCTCTTGAAATCAAACTGTTTGTAGGAGAAAAATAATAGGAAGCCAAACATGACAGGGAACCTTCTGCTTTCAAAAGATCACTTTATTAAGCTTAAGAAAAAAAAATAAAGGGGAAAAAACCGTCAAGGCTCTAAGAGATGCTGAAAGCGGGGGAAACCAAGGGGAAAAAAATCATATTTATATTTAAAGCAAAAGATAGTAAGAAAGGAAATACCACAGCAAATTAAAAAACAGCAACAAGGGGATAAACCGTATAAGAGTCAATTTGGATGGTGGATGACTGAGAGCATATCTGGCAGGATTCTTATATTACCTCCCACTTCTTGATAATAACACAAAACCGTATAAGAGTCAATTTGGATGGTGGATGATTGAGAGCGTATCTATCTGGCAGGATTCTTATACTGTATTACCTCCCACTTCTTGATAATAACACACAGGGGAGTACAGATTTTGCTTTCCATGATTATCAAGGACCTGATGTCTGGAGCTCACATGCAGAGCTGAAAACCATATCACACGACCCCACCTGTGCTTTAAATGCTTAATAAACCAGTATGTATAATCTGTCTTTTTTTTCCTGCGTTTCTCTAGTTTCCAACTGCACAGTTCTTTTTCCAACTGTCCATTTTTTATCCCACTGCACAATGAAAAAAAAAATCACCACCCTGGTAGGCTAGACATAGGCATAATTTTTCCACTCGACTCCCACCCCACATACCCCAGGAGTAGCCAATCTGGGTCCATTCAGACATTGTTTGATTGGGGGGTGGGGTTTCCCACCGTTCCTCAGCTATACTGATCAGTACTGTAAGCCAACAGTAACTGGAAGTTATTCATCCCCAAGAAGAGTCTTTCACAAACAATTTCAGTATTTTGGAAAATACTGGTGGTATAATCCTTCTGGGACTGTACCATCCCAAATGCCAAACGCCCCATCAGAACAATGCTGTGATGGTGAACTGATCTCCAGAATTGGCACACTTACTGGATAGAGCAGATGGGAAAAGGGCTCGAGAAGGCACAGCTTGGACTAGAATGCCCAGAATCCCCTATCCAGCTCCAGCATTTCTGTTTTGTGTTGGAAGAAAGGTCTCCCCACACCCAGACCGCTTGTAGGCCAAGATTCTTCTCTCCTCTTCACCACGACGCACAGAGATTCTCTAATTCCAGGAGTGAATTAGAGAGAGAATTTAAAGAAGAGGTAGCCCCTTATCGGTGCTGAGAGACACCACAGGTCTCCTCCGTGGCTTCTCACTATGCCCAGCTTCTATTATAGCTCCGTCCCAGCCCTGTGAAGTTCAAGTGGTACATTCCTGAGTCCTACCACTTCATTCTGTATCAGTTCTCACCAGCAAGCTGGGAGAACTCCATTTTAGATCAGGAAAGAGTAGGGTTTCTTTCTCACCACAAAATATCCCTTGGACCCCATCCCTTTACAACCCTCAGCCAATTGATTCCTCTCTTGCCATCTGAAGATACGGCCAGATCAGCTTCTCCGTCCCAAACAATAATTAAGATCATCTTGGCTGAAATCCTGTTGCTTAGCATAGTAAGTTGAATCAAAGGAACTTAAGGAAAAAGTTGACTCATCCAATCAGTGGTGATTTAATAGATTGCAGTGTACAAGGCTAAGCAACAGGATTTCAGCCATTGCCTCCCACCGCAAAGCACTCTGGGATGTGCAGTTTCCTGAAGTTGGTAAACATTCCTTGATGGCAACTTAAGACAGTTGCATGAGTTCAGTCTACTAGGAGGTGACGCTCTGTTCCAGGAAGGAAGCAAATGACATTCCACAAAGATGCAACTAAGGCAAAGAGGTTCGTTCTACAAATTATATTTCTGGACTGCAGCCTGCAGAGCAGAGACTATTGAATTTTTGTGTATTTTACCTCTTGGGGGGGAAAAAAAGAATTTCCGTAAAAGTAGCAGGAGTTTTTCTCCTTGAAGTGCTAGCTTTCTACTTTCAGGGAGTTTAAACAAAATGTAGAATAGCAATGAAAAATGTCCTTTCTGCTTCAGAAGTCTTAGCAGTACAAGCCACCTCTGCAGGATTCAACCACCTCCTTCTGAAGCATGTATAGATCCCAGCCTAATTCTCAGCATCTGCTAGCCAAGTTCAAAGCTGGACGAAAATCAGCAGAAGGAACAGATACTGTAGGAGTTTCCAGTTCAGTTGACCCAGCCACCCCTCTGTACGAAGCTCGCTTTTATCGCGGCAAAGAAAAATCATATATGTATACATATAATCTCTATATATACTGTATAAAATAAATAATAAGCATACTGTCAGTTGAGCCTGCTACCCAAGCCAAACATTAGCAAGACAGAAACAGAATTAATTTCCCACAGTCCAACATAATTTTGTCTAGCTTCACAACCGGCACTGGCTGCTCCAGTTCAACCTATTTTTTTACGGGCTTGGGGCAAAAACACCATGCAAATCGGTTTGGGTGGAGCGTGGCAGGTTGCAGTATTTTCAAGTGCATGTCCAAGGCCCATTTCTTCCTGTTGACTGCACAGCTTAACTGTGTAGAAAAGCTAGGATGCGCACCTTCAAAAGCTTTTGTGAAACCAAGGTTATTTCATAGTCCATAGAAGGCTCACCCTGCTCCCATAGGCTCTGTGGCATAACACCCCCCCGCCTTCTCCCTTCTGTTCCCTAATGGTTGGAGAGGTGTGTTTTCGGCCATTTTCTGGGTGTTGGGAAGCAGGAGCACTTGGCTGTTGCTAGGCAACCGGCTAGCACAACAAGCCTTCCTCACCAGGAATGACGAAAGCAGAACAGAGGATGGGTGACAGAAACACATATGACAGAGAGAGAGAGAGAGAGAGAGAGAAGGCATTTAAGCATCAATAAAACACATATTCTTCCATATTCTTCTGTAAACATATGGGGGGAGGTACAACAGAAATGCATGAGAGAGGCAGAGACATGGCTGTCAGGTTTTCAGTAAAACACATATTCTTCCCATGACGCCGAGATAAAGCTAGCTGTCATGACTGTTTTCCTCCCACGAGAGCAACTATTTAAAGAGGGAGACTTGATCACCATGGAGGCTCTATGTGGGAGTGCAAATCCCCCTGTTTTTTTTGTTTTTTTTTTAAGGCTTCCAGCTCACATGCAGACCTCCAAGGTTACGGCAGCCTCTCTACTTCCAACGGACACTTCTGGATGAGAAACGCCACGGGTTCAAGTGCTCCCTCCCTCCCATTTAGAGTGCGTACACTTTACGGATGCCTAAAGAAGGAAGGAGGGAGACAGAGAGAGAGAGAAAGAGAAAGAGAAGGGGTGTGTGAGAGACATAAAGGATTTTAAAAAAAAGGAGAGCAGAAGGAAGTTGGGGGAAGAGAAAGAGGTGTGTGAGAGACATAAAGGATTTTTTAAAAAAAGGAGAGCAGAAGGAAGTTGGGGGCCAAGAGAAAAGGGGCAGAAGGCCTGTACCACTTTCTGCGGTGCCTAGTCAGCAACTAGCTTCGGGGAAGGCTATGACATGCAACGGCACCTTTAGGGACAGAACAAGTTCACCTCAGCTGTGCCTATTTTATCATTTCCAGAATGGCTCTGCTCAACTGAGGGTGGAGGAGAAAGCCTTTTCACATCTTCATCTCCACACTTTCTTCTTCTGCTTCTTCCGCTACGTCTGGATAGGCCTCTTCTGAGGCGTGAGAGAAGTCCGACATCAGGTTCAAATTCACACACTCGGGGCACTTATCTGGGTTTTCGGCGCTGGACGAGAAGATCTTCCCGCAGTCGGCGCAGATGAAGGAGTTGACACCCAGGTGGCTGCGCTGGTGCCGGACGAGGGCCGCCTTGGCCTTGAAGCAGTTCCCACACTCGGGGCAGAGGTAGGGCTTCTCGCTGGTGTGGGTCCGCTCGTGGGCGATGAGCTGGGAGCTCTCCCGGAAGCATTTCCCACAGTCCAGACACATGTAGGGCCTCTCGCCTGTGTGGGATCTCTCGTGGGCCACCAGGCTGGAGCGCTGGATGAACCCCTTGCCGCACTGGAGGCAGATATAGGGCTTCTCCCCCGTGTGGGTCCGCTCGTGTTTGCTGAGGCTGGAGCGGACGCTGAAACTTTTCTCACAGTAGAGGCACTGGTAGGGCTTCTCCCCTGTGTGGGTCCTCTCGTGGGCGATCAGCTCCGAGCTCCAGTTGAACCCCTTGCCACATTCTAGGCACTTGTGAGGCTTCTCTCCCGTGTGAGTCCGGATGTGGGCCATGAGGTGAGAGTTCTGGCTGAAGCTTTTCCCGCAATCGGAGCAGGTGTAGGGCTTCTCCCCCGTGTGGATGCTCTGGTGGCGGATGAGGTCGGCGCTCAAGCTGAAACCCTTCCCGCACTCGAGGCATTTGTAGGGTTTCTCCCCCCGGTGGCTTTTCTCATGGAGGACCAAGGTGGCCTTCTGGCTGAAACTTTTCCCGCACTCCAGACACATGTAAGGCTTCTCCCCCGTGTGGCTCCGCTCGTGGATGATGAGGCTCGAGCGCTGGTTGTAGCTCTTCTCGCACAGCAGGCACTTGTAGGGCTTCTCCCCCGTGTGGGTCCGCTCGTGGAGCTGAAGGTGGGAGCTCTGGCTGAAGCGCTTGTCACAGTGGGAGCACTTGAAGGGCTTCTCGCCCGTGTGGGTCCGCCCGTGCGTATTCAGGGTTGACCGTTTCCCGAAGCTCTTTCCGCACTCGTTGCATTTGTACGGCTTCTCGGCCACCGCCGGCGGTTTCTCCGGCCCCCGCAAGGACACGCTTTGGCTCAGGCTCGCCCCAAAGCTTTTCGAGATCTCTTGGCCCTTCTTCTGGAGGAAGCTCTGCTGGATCGCAAATTCGCTGAAATCAAAAAAGCCCCCTCCGAAAGGAATGGAGATCGGCCCCCGGTGGTTCACCAACGAGTGCCCCTCGGAGGCGCCGGCTTGCTCCTCGGGCCCAGGGAAGCTGACTTCGTCTCCCCCCCACATCATCCGGTTCAGCTGCAATCGCTCCGAGCTCCCCAAGGAAGGCTCCCCTTCCTTGTTCTGGGCCAGCCATCCCGCTGCAAAAAAGCAGAGGAACAGAGATGGAGAAAGACTTCAATATAAGGAGCGGAAACATGGACTGTGGCTAAGAAAAGGAGAAGGTGGAGGAGATGCTTTATAACCGGATGGAAAGTACACAGCCTATGGCACTGGTTCCTAACTCGAGGTCTCCAGATGTTCTTGGTGTACAATTCCCAGAAATCCTGGCCAGCACAGCTAGTGGTGAAGGTTTCTGGGAGTTCAAGCCCAAGAACATCTCAAGACCAAAGATTGGGAACTACTGGCCTAGGGGAGGCACGTAACCCCCAAGGTTGAGCCTAGTGGTCCCCCCCCAGATCCCACCCTTGCAAAAAAATGTGTAGTTGTTATGTTCAAATGAGAGATCTCTAAAATGTCCTGCTTAGCTCTTGCAAACTCAAGACTGTGGCTTCCTTTAGGGAGACAATCCATCTCATATTTGGGCCATCCTCTTTTCCTGCTGTCTTCAAGATTTCCTAGCATTATTGTCTTTTCCAACAAGAGTTGGTTTCACAAAAATATGGGCTGGGGCAAAGCAAGAGGAACTTACTCTCCTGGAAGCCAGCATGGAGATAAAGATTGGCCTTTTGAGCAAGCTGAAGCCTCCTATCCACATCGTTTGAAATCGAAATAACCCATCTCCTTTTTCTAAACCAGAATTTCTATTCCCTTGTAGTTTCAGGATTTTTTTAAATGGAGGGGTGCTTCTATATCAGTCCAGTAGTAGGTCCTGGGGAATATACTGGCCCTTGGAGTTTGCTCACCTCTGACCTATAATATGTCAATCTTTGAAGACCCACTGAACTTCAATACTAGTAGGCACTGATAGGAACATCCCCGTGAATTTCTCCAGTCTGGTTTTGATGGTGCACTAGGGAGCTATAGCTCCTCCCCTCAGAAGCTATAAGCTACCTAGGCTCCTAAACTCATTTAGGCAGTTCTTATGGGCGGGTTCAAACATCAATGGTAAGCCATGTTGTGGCTTGATGAATTCTGGCTTCCTGCTGTGTTGACATTCATCCTTGCAAAGAGACCATGGTTTCACGGTTTCTTACCAGCTTGTTTTAACCATGGTTTCTTGTTATGTTTGAACCCAGAACTGCGGCTTGTCCCTAGTTTTGTTCCCCCAGTTGAAGGAAGAATTAGCAAAAGGGGTTGGAGGGTGGGGAAGACTGAAAGGAAATCAAAATTGAGGAAAATATCTGTGATTGGTTAGTTTATCTAGAGAACAATGTTAAACAAACAAACCATAGTTGGTTTGTTTATGGAACAATGTTAAAGCAATAAATCATGGTCAACATGAACTATAGTTTATCTTGATGAGTGAACGTGGCCAAAATCTTATGCTCCAAAAGCACTGTTCAACAGGTCTGGAGGGAAAAGAATCACCTTTCAGTCTCAGCATCATCTCCTGGAAGACACCACTGTTCTGACACAAGTCACCATATCGCTGTCTTATTTCCTCCAATCTCAGTATGGGAGGCTCCTCATCTTCCCTGAAAGTTTGAAAAGGAAGCCAAAGAAAGAGAGAGAAAATTGGTAAAAGGAATTATATAAACTCCTCTCAGCAAAGTACTTCTACACATGGTGCAGAATTATGCAAAAATTGCAGCACCTCATTCAATGAGGACATTAGCTACCACAACATGTACTGGTCAGCCGCCAGTGTGGAAAGCTTGCCAAGGAGACCAGCTAAATTTACGCAGGCCCCAAGACTAGTAGCCATGAGGGCAGTAAGATGCCCCTAGGATGACAAAAGGCAGCAGGACTCTAAGGCGGAAAAAGCGTGATCATGCAGAACCACAACGCTGGTTTTATGCCCCCCTGCCTCCTAATTGAAACTTCTCTTCAGCCATTTTGTCTGAGGAGTGAGCTACAAATGCACTTAATATTTCATAGTACCAAAAGAAATAAACACAAACACACACAAGAGAGAGAGAGAAAGAGAGAGAGAGAAAGAGAGAGAGAGAGAAAGATAGAGCACACTAGGAAGCCAAGTCTGCTATAGTAAAACCTCCCACTGCAATCTTGTTCTACCAAAAATATGTTTGTTGGTTTTCTGAAACATGAAATCTTATTTTTCATGCCATTTCCAGACCCCCTCCCTCTGGAGGGACTGGGGTGGCCTCTGAAGGATCCTGGATTTGGAAACAGGACTCCACCATCTTGCCTTCCCCTGCACTAATGAGTACCTGTTGCTCACAGACACGAGCCAGGGGCTAGTCTTTTGATCCTGCCCTTCTGTGGGCCGCCTAAAGCCCCCACCCCCTGTTCGGCCACCGTGGCTACAGAATCCTGCACTAGGCATTTCTCCTTGGGAACCCATTTAGAACTGAGGCACTGATGCATCCTCAGTTTTTTAAAAAAACCAACTGCCGGCCATCTGTCTCAGCCGGCAGAAGGAATTTGTTTCTCCCAGAGAAACAGAGAGAGAGGGGTGGAAAATGATGTTTGGACATCTGATGGTATTTTTGTTTTACAGGTCTTACAGCTTGAGCCCCCTTGCACTTTGTCCCCTTGTGAATAAAATGGCAGGCAAATGTTTTAAAGGGACTCTTGATGACCAAGGACTACTCTAGGAATAGGAACCATGTTGTTCGGCAACAGAAGGAAAACAGATGACACAGAAATACAAACAGGCCGTCAGGCTCCCCAGTTCTTACCTGTTTTCAATGCTTCCAGCGTTCTACAGGGGAAGAAAAAAAAGGGGGAAGACATATACTATGTATAGGGTAATAATGTTCACACAGTTAGAAAACCATTGTGTTAAAACTGTGGAACTCATTGCCCCATGATGTTGCAACGGACAGTCATATCGTGAGAAGAAAATGATAAAAGCAATTCCTTTAACTTTCTATATTATGTCCTCTCTTTGTCTTCTAAGCCTTGTTGCAAAGTATCAAGGAAGCTATTCTTTCCATGAGTCCGAATGCCTCTGGAAATAGATGTTGTGTGTTTTTTATATGACTGAATCTGGAGCAGGTGGGCTGGAAACCAAGAGCCTAGGCATTTTTCTGTGGAAACCCATTTGGAACTGAGGTATTTTAATGCATCCTCAATTAAAAACAAACAAACAGGCTGCAAGTCAAAAATAAATGGCTACCGGACCAAGGATACAACTCAGTAGAGATCAGGTTCATATGATATAAAATTTACGCCAAATAAGATTGGTAGAATATTTTAAATAAAAAATGTTATCTCCCTACTTGGGATTAGAAAGGTAGTTATCTCTTGATCACACTGAATTCTGGCTTTTTTGTTTTGTGTTTCCCATCACTGGAAATATGTGACTCCAGTTTGTTTACTGAAGTAGACAAACAGGAAGGGATCCCTGAAACTTACCACAATCTCCTCACGGCTGTTGGTATCCCTCTCCGTCTTTATCACCCTTCTCGTTTCCTGCATCAGTCACTTCTACATCAGATAAAGCCTTTGAATAAGTGAAATTGCTGGCGTTATTCAAAACAATAAAAGCCTTTTCTTCTGCTAACTTATCTTTTTTTTTTTAAAAAAAAAATCAGTTCCACGGTATCAATACACACAAAAAACTTCCCAAGGCATTCACATGCAACAAGAAGCCATGATTTGTGCTAACCATGGCACCTTGCTTACGTGGCCCACTGCCCTACAGACAACTAAAAAGACCATGATGCATTTTCCTCAGTTCTGATTTTTGGTTTGAACTTCTTTTTTCAACTTCTGTTTCAGGGCTGATTTCTAGGAAAACATGCCAGGGACAAACCATGGTTACAGGTTAGGACATAATGGTGAGCCATGGTTTCAGCAAGCCAGAATATATAAGGTAACAATAAACCACGAGTTGAAACTGTTACCTTGTGAGTGATTAACAAACAACTGTTTGTTAGAAGAGGCAGTTTTATATACCAAAATAAGCCAGATTTCAACAAACACACGGGCTTTTTACAATGTGCAAACTTCAAATTTCACTGTCCAAAAACCCAATTAAGTTTTAGACAGAGATAGCTAAAACCAAGTTTTAAAAGAACAAACTGACATACCTTGGCTTCTTTGCAGAAATATGAATGAGTCTCTCTTCCATTCATGTAGCTCCTTTGATCGTCCTTTTAGGTAAACCATAATTAAACTAGAAGGCCTATCATTGCCTTGGTTCCCCATTTAATCAGAACCAGAGAACTACAGTTTCCAGCTTCAGAATAAGCCATGATATCACACCAGGTTCAAACCATGATTTAGTATCTTGGCTTGCTGGGAAACTGTACAAAATGGGAAACTACCGTATTTGCCGCCGTACAAGGCGACTGGCCGTATAAGACGACCCCCCGACATTTCCATTCAAAATATAGAGTGGACAGCTCTGCTGCGGCGGTAGCAGCGGCTGCCCAGGCTCTGCCCGGGCCCGCCCTGGAAGTTCATGGCCGGCGGGGAGGGCGAGGAAGAGGGGCAGAGGCTGGGGGAGCGGTGGGAGGAGGAGGAGGAGGAGGAAGAGGGGAAGTGGGCGGGTGGCGGGAGAGCGACTGCCTCCATCCCGAACGACTGCCTGCCTGCCCACCTGCCTTCCTCCCCGGCGGCGGCTCCTTTCTGGCCCAAATGAAGTGCACCCGCCGTACAAGACGACCCCCCCAACTTGGAGGCATGTTTTTTGGGCCAAAAAGGCATCTTGTACGCCGGCAAATACGGTACTTGCACACACTGTGGTTCCTGGTTTATTTGTTTCTATCACAAAAGAAGAGACAGTATGCTATAATGGGTGGTGTCAGACTAGAACAGAAGAGACTTGGGTTCAAATCTCCCATTCAAACACGGATAGTTGTTAAAGTGGATGACAATGGTAAATCACCTTGATCATCTCATCCTGAAAACCCTACTGGGGTTGCCCTAAATTGGAAAATTTTCACAGCTCATAACAAAACCATCAAAAAAAGCAGTAAAGGGGCTACTCTTTCCCAATTCATGACAAAGTGACTTATGTGTTGGAGAAGGACAATAGAAACCTAGGTTCAAATCCTCCCTCAGCCACGATCCCAATCTACCTCACAGAACTGTTATTTTGTTTGTTTGTTTGTTTGTTTGTTTGTTTGATTTATATTCCGCCTATCTGGACCAACGGCCCTTTACAAAGATAAAACTGGATGCATCCACTTATACCACTCAGAGATCTTAGGACAATGGGTGGAGTATAAATACAACATTAAAAATCATGCTGAGATACAGACTTAGAGGACTGTTCTTCTTCCCCAGAGGTACAATAATTTTCGATGTGGCTGAAATTCATTGAAATCTTAAAGAGCATCCATCCCCCAAACAATGATTACCTCATCCTTTATGACAGGCTCATCTTCGTTTGCCTCTTCGATCACTAATTCATCACCACTACTGTCCCCTCTGTTTTTTACCCCATCCTCTTCAGTTTCCAGCAGATCAATCACATTGTTCTGTGATTCCTGATGATAAAAGAAGGAAAGGAAAAAGATTAATAACTGTTACTATAACTTATAGCACTTAAAGCTCTGAGCATTTACAATTTTCCATCCGCCATTTCTAGGTACTGTAAAACTTTCCTCTCCTCTTTCGAAGGTGTGTATTTTTCACCCCACCCCACAGAGTGGGGGGTCAGGAGTTCAATTCCTCCCTGTGCCTCTTGGGTGAACGGCCAGCCTTGGTAGCCTTGGGCAAGCTACACGGTTCCAGAAGTGCCTCCAGAAGAAGGGAATGGTAAACCACGTCTGAATACTCTCTATCTAGAACACTCTGGAAAGGATGGCCATAAGCTGGAATTGACTTGATGGCATGCTGTATCATAATCATGTTTTTCTTCAGTTGGATTCAGTTCTTATAACTGAAATTCATTATATCTCAAGGGTGGAGAACCAACAGCTCTCCAGATGCTGCTAAACTACTCTTTTATATATAGATATGCTTACATATAAGGCCCTAAACGGTTTAGGACCCCGATACTTGGTGGAACGCCTGCTCCCACCTAGATCTACTCGGATCACCCGCACGAGCCAGGAGGTGAGGCTGAGGAGCCTAACGCCGAGGGAGGCCCGGAAGGAAAGGACACCCAGTGAATACTAAGTGTGCTGGGTGTTGATGGAATGATTTCCTGCTGTTAGGGGTAGAAAAAAGGAACAGAGCAGCTAGACAAAGCACAGTTTACTACCACATTTTGTTGCAGGTCCATTTTGTAGCACATAAACTTTCTGGTAATCCAATCGTTCCCAACCACGGGTCACCCAGGTGTTCTTGGACTGCAATTCCCAGAAGCCTTCTCCATCAGCTGTGCTGGCTGGGATTTCTGGGAGTTCCAGTCCAAGAGCATTTAGGTCACCCAAGATTGGGCACCACTGTGCTAACGGATAAGATACCTGGTCTAGGGTGACAAAA